GATGGTGGAAGATGTTACAGTTGAAACACGATGTTACAGATGGTGGTAGATGATACGGTTGAGAAACAATGTTACAGATGGTGGTAGCCGGTTCAGATGACAAACAATGTTACAGATAGTGGTAGACGGTACAGATGATAAACGATGTTACAGATGATGGTAGATGGAAACGATGATACAGACGGTGGTAGATGGTACAGATGACAAATGATGTTACAGATGGTGGTAGATGGTACAGTTGACAAACGATGATACACATGGTGGTAGATGGTACAGTTGACAAACGATGATACAGATGGTCGAAGATGTTGCAGATGGTGGTAGACGGTTCAGATGAAAACGATGATACAGATGGCGGTAGATGATACAGTTGAAAAATGATGTTACAGATGGTGTTAGATGTAACAGTTGACAAACGATGTTACACATGGTGGTAGATGGTACAGATGACATATGATGCTACAGATGGTAGTAGAGGGTACAGATGACAAATGATGTTACAGATAGTGGTGGATGGTACAGTTGGCAAACGATGATACAGATGGTGGAAGGTGGTACAGTTGACAAACGATGTTATAGATAGTGGTAGGTGGTACAGACGACAAACGATGTTACAGATGGTAGTAGACGGTACAGATGACAAATGATGTTACACATGGTGGTAGATGGTACAGTTGACAAACGATGATAAACATGGTGGTAGATGGTACAGTTGACAAACGATGTTACAGATGGTGGTAGACGGTACAGATGACAAATGATGTTACAGATGGTGGTAGATGGTACAGATGACAAACGATAATATACATGGTGGTAGATGGTACAGATGACAAACGATGATACAGACGGTGGTAGATGGTACAGAAGACAAACGATGTTACAGACGGTGGTAGATGGTACAGATGGCAGAAGATGTGACAGATGGTGGTAGATGGTACAGTTGACAAACGATGATACAGAGGGTAGATGATACAGTTGACAAACGATGATACAGATGGTGGTAGAAGGTGCAGAAGACAAACGATGGTACAGATAAAAAACTATGGTACAGATGAAAAACGATGTTACAGATGGTGGTAGATGGTACAGATGATGGTAGATGGTACAGATGACAAACGATGATACAGACGGTGGTAGATGGTACAGATGACAAACGATGATAAACATGGTGGTAGATGGTACAGATGACAAACGATGATACAGACGGTGGTAGATGGTACAGATGACAAACGATGTTACAGATGGTGGTAGATGGTACAGATGACAAACGATGTTACAGACGGTGGTAGATGGTACAGATGACAAACGATGTTACAGACGGTGGTAGATAGTACAGATGACAAACGATGTCACAGATGGTGGTAGATGATACAGTTGACAAACGATGATACAGATGGTGGTAGACGGTACAGTTGACAAACGATGTTACAGATGGTGGTAGATTATACAGATGACAAACGATGATACAGATGGTGGAAGGTGGTACAGTTGACAAACGATGTCACAGATGGTGGTAGATGGTACAGTTGACAAACGATGTCACAGATGGTGGTAGATGGTACAGTTGACAAACGATGATATACATGGTGGTAAATGGTACAGTTGACAAACGATGTTACAGATGGTGGTAGATTGTACAGATGACAAACGATGATACAGATGGTGGAAGGTGGTACAGTTGACAAACGATGATACACATGGTGGTAGATGGTACAGTTGACAAACGATGATAAACATGGTGGAAGATGGTACAGATGACAAACGATGTTACAGATGGTGGTAGACGGTACAGATGACAAATGATGTTACACATGGTGGTAGATGGTACAGTTGACAAACGATGATAAACATGGTGGAAGATGGTACAGATGACAAACGATGTTACAGATGGTGGTAGACGGTACAGATGACAAATGATGTTACAGATGGTGGTAGATGGTACAGATGACAAACGATAATATACATGGTGGTAGATGGTACAGATGACAAACGATGATACAGACGGTGGTAGATGGTACAGAAGACAAACGATGTTACAGACGGTGGTAGATGGTACAGATGGCAGAAGATGTGACAGATGGTGGTAGATGGTACAGTTGACAAACGATGATACAGAGGGTAGATGATACAGTTGACAAACGATGATACAGATGGTGGTAGATGGTGCAGAAGACAAACGATGGTACAGATGAAAAACGATGGTACAGATGAAAAACGATGTTACAGATGGTGGTAGATGGTACAGATGATGGTAGATGGTACAGATGACAAACGATGATACAGACGGTGGTAGATGGTACAGATGACAAACGATGATAAACATGGTGGTAGATGGTACAGATGACAAACGATGATACAGACGGTGGTAGATGGTACAGATGACAAACGATGTTACAGATGGTGGTAGATGGTACAGATGACAAACGATGTTACAGACGGTGGTAGATAGTACAGATGACAAACGATGTCACAGATGGTGGTAGATGATACAGTTGACAAACGATGATACAGATGGTGGTAGACGGTACAGATGACAAATGATGTTTCAGATGGTGGTAGATGGTCCAGTTGACAAACGATGTCACAGATGGTGGTAGATGATACAGTTGACAAACAATGTCACAGATGGTGGTAGATGGTACAGTTGACAAACGATGTCACAGATGGTGGTAGATGGTACAGTTGACAAACGATGATATACATGGTGGTAAATGGTACAGTTGACAAACGATGTTACAGATGGTGGTAGATTGTACAGATGACAAACGATGATACAGATGGTGGAAGGTGGTACAGTTGACAAACGATGTTACAGATGGTGGTAGACGGTACAGATGACAAATGATGTTACACATGGTGGTAAATGGTACAGTTGACAAACGATGATACACATGATGGTAGATGATACAGATGACAAACGATGATACACATGGTGGTAGACGGTACAGACGACAAACGATGATACAGACGGTGGTAGATGATACAGATGGCAGAAGATGTGACTGATGGTGGTAGATGGTACAGTTGACAACCGATGATACAGATCTTGGTAGATGATACAGATGGTGGTAGATGGTGGAGAAGACAAACGATGGTACAGATGAAAAACGATGTTTCTGATGGTGGTAGATGGTACAGATGATAAACGATGTTACAGATGACAAACGATGATACAGACTGTTGTAGATGGTACAGATGACAAACGATGTTACAGATGATGGTAGATGGTACAGATGACAAACGATGATACAGACGGTGGTAGATGGTACAGATGACAAACGATGATACACATGGTGGTAGATGGTACAGACGACAAACGATGATACAGACGGTGGTAGATGATACAGATGGCAGAAGATGTGACAGATGGTGGTAGATGGTACAGTTGACAAACGATGATACACATGGTGGTAGATGGTACAGACGACAAACGATGATACAGACGGTGGTAGACGATACATATGGCAGAAGATGTGACAGATGGTGGTAGATGGTACAGTTGACAAACGATGATACAGATGGTGGTAGATGGTACAGTTGACAAACGATGATACAGACGGTGGAAGATGGTAGAGATGACAAACGATGTTACAGATGGTAGTAGATGGTACAGATGACAAACAATGTTACAGACGTTGGTAAATGGTACAGATGGCAGAAGATGTGACAGATGGTGGTAGATGGTACAGTTGACAAACGATGATACAGACGGTGGTAGATGGTACAGATGACAAACAATGATACAGATTGTGGTAGATGGTACAGATGACAGAATATGTTACAGATGGTGGTAAATGGTACAGTTGACAAACGATGATACACATGGTGGTAGATGTTACAAATGATAAACGATGTTACAGCTGGTGGTAGATGGTACAGATGAAAAATGATGTTACAGATGACAGAATATGTTACAGATGGTGCTAGATGGTACAGATGATAAACGATGATACACATGGTGGTAGATGTTACAGATGACAAACGATGTTACAGATGGTGGTATACGGAACAGTTGAAAAATGATGTTGTAGATGGTGGTAGATGGTACAGGAGACAAACGATTTTAAAGATGGTGGTAGATGATACAGATGACAGCAGGTTGTACAGTTGAAAAATGATGTTACAGGTGGCAGAAGATGTTACAATTAACAAACAATAGTACAGATGATGGTAGATGTTACAGATTGCAGCAGCTGGTACAGTTGACAAACGATGGTTACAGATGGCAGAAAATTGTACAGATGACCAAAAAAAATGGTACAGTTAACAAACGACCGTTACATATGGCAGCAGATGGTAAAATTGACAAATAAAGTAACAGATCTAAGTAGATACCGCTGCCATCTATAATCATTATTTGTAACCATCATCTGTACCATCTAATCGTCTGTCAGCTCTACCAACTGCTAGCTAGCTGCCATTACAGCATACATCTTTTGTCTACTGTACCATCGTTTTTCAAACTTTCCATATGTTTGGTAACAGAATTCTGCAGATTGCACAGTTGAAAAACGGTGGTTACTGATAGTAGTATATGATACAGTTGCCAAACGATGGTACAGACGGCAGAGGATGATACAGTTGACCGATGGTTACAGATGGCAGCAGATGGTACAGCTGACAATTGATGGTTACTGATGGCAGTAGATGATACAGCTGAAATACACTGGTTACAGACGGCAGCGGATTTAAGACACAGTAAAAATGGCAGTATATGCTACAGTTGACAAACTATGTTAAAGACAGCAGCTGAGGAACAGTCTTTCAGTATACATTATAATTTCTTCAGACTCAAGAACAGTTTATTGGTATATCTTATCTCTTTATCAGGCTGGAGTCAGTCTACAGTAACATCCTTTATCTGTGTCAGGCTGAGGAATCAATCTATAGGTACACCACATATCTGTGTCAGGCTGAAGAACAGTCTAATGGTAAGCCATTACTCTGTGTCGAGCTGAGGAACAGTCTACAGGTACACCTTATCTCTGTGCCAGGCTGACGAACAGTCTAATGGTAAACCATTTTTCTGTGTCAGGCTGAGAAACAGTCTACAGGTACACCATATATCTGTGTCAGGCTGAGACAAAGTCTACAGGTACACCATATCTCTATGTCAGGCTGAGGAACAGTCTACAGGTACATCAAATCTCTGTGTCAGGCTGAGGAACAGTCTACAGGTACACCAAATCTCTGTCATGCTGAGGAACAGTCTACAGGTACACCATATCTCTGTGTCAGGCTGAGACACAGTCTACAGGTACATCATATCTCTGTGTCAGACTAAGGAACAGTCTACAGGTACACCATATCTCTGTGTCAGGCTGAGACACAGTCTACAGGTACACCATATCTCTGTGTCAAGCTGAGGAACAGTCTACAGGTACACCATATCTCTGTGTCAGGCTGAGGTCAGTCTATTAGTACACCATATCTCTTCGTCAGGCTGAGGAACAGTCTACAGGTACACAATATCTCTGTGTTAGGCTGAGGAATAGTCTACTAGTACACCATATCTCTGTGTCAGGCTGAGGAACAGTCTACAGGTACACCATATCTCTGTGTCAGGCTGAGGACAGTCTACTAGTACACCATATCTCATCGTCAGGCTGAGGAATTGAAGATATGAATTTCTGGTAAAATGTTCATTGTTAAAGCATTATACAACCCAATACTTAGCTAAATAAAATGCTCCACTGGGCGCAGCTTGATACGACCGCAGAGGTCGAACCCTGAACAGTTGGGGCAAGTATGGACACAACATTCAAGCTTGATACAGCACTGAATTTGGATTGTGATTAAATATTTGACACAGCATAGGTTTCTGACACACAATGAATGTGGTCTAAGAACTTATAAAACTTTTAATTTACCTATTCAAACCATATCATTATTATTTGCTTTTATATATAAATCAGAAATAACCAATTTAAAATGCAAAATTTTAAAGAAAAAAAAAGGAAAAAAAGGAAAAAAAATCCCTCCCCCAAATTTTTTGAACCCCCTTATGATTCATCACCCCAAACTCAATCCCAGCCTTCCCTTTGTAGTATGGTACCTTGCAGTACAATTTTAGAGAGATACATACACTTGAACACAAGTTATTGTCTGGAAACTAGAAAAATGCTTGTTTTTGGCCCCTTTTTGGCCCCAAATTCCTAAACATTTAGGGCAATTACCCCCAAACTCAAACCCAGCTTTACCTTTGTGATATGAAACCTTGTAGTACAATTTCATAAAGATCCATACACTTACAAACAAGTTATTGTCCTGAAACTAGAAAAATGCTTGTTTTTTGCCCCTTTTTTGCCCCTAATTCCTAAAATTTTGAGGCAATTACCCCCAAAATCAATCCCAGCCTTCCCTTTGTGGTATGGTACCTTGCAGTACAATTTCAGAGAGAAAAATGCTTGTTTTTGGCCCCTTTTTCCTAAACTTTTTAGGCAATTACCCCCAAACTCAATTCCAGCTTTCCCTTTGTGATATGGAACCTTGTACTACAATTTCAGAAAGATCCATACACTTACACACAAGTTATTGTCATGAAACTAGAAAAATGCTTGTTTTTTGCCCCTTTTTTGGCCCCTAATTCCTAAAATTTTGAGGCAATTACCCCCAAAATAAATCCCAGCATTCCCTTTGTGATATGGAACCTTGTGGTACAATGTCAGAATGATCCATACTCTAACACACAAGTTATGTCTGGAAGTTACAAAAATGCTTATTTTTGGCCCCTAATTCCTTAACTGTTGATACCATAACCCCCAAAATCAATCCCAACCTTCCTTTTGTGGTATTGAACCCTATGGTAAAATTTCATAGAGATCCATTCACTTAAACTAAAGTTAGAGTGCGAAAATCAATGTGTCTTCGGACGACGACGATGACGCCAATGTCATACCAAAATACGACCGCACAATTTTTTGCGGTCGTATAAAAATATAAAAGTTGGAAGAAGGGAAATGTCAATTGTTTACTGATCTAAGTCACATTAAATGCATTTATGTCTTCAAAATATATTACATTTGTTATACTTTAATATAAAACAGGTATATTTTGGTTGTTGTGCAAACAGTTTTAAGACCCAGAATATATAGAGGGCATGCAAATACAAACTAAATAGTTTAAAACACAGTTTTTGTCAATATTGACATATCAAACTTTAATTGTATTTTTCTTGTATTTTCTTTCCTCCTTTTTTCCAATATTTGAAGCCTTTAAAATAAAAACTCTGATAATCATAGAAAAATAAAATGACAAAAGGAAAGCAGTATTCAAAACAGGGCTTCCAAAAAATATTTGAGCCAGCCGTACATTTTATATCTTATCCCGATTTTAATCCCTTAAGACTAAGTCACAAAAGGCAATTATGGTAATCAGATGGCCACTCCAATGATTGACATTAGATTAAAAAACCTTTTTAAATTTTTCATCAAATCATGTTTATAAACGTATTTCTTATAATTTCAATCTTTTGGACTAAATCAATTAGATAGAAACCGCTGAAATGTAAGAAATTAACTTTGAATAGACCGATCAATTTATATGATGTCCGGTACTGGAAATAGTTTACCTGTCACCTGAACATGTAGATTTCAGTAGTCCAACAACTAATTAGCCTTGATTAAAATTATAAAGTATTGAAGTAGGGGTTTTTTTGATAGTAATTAGTCATCATATAACTTTTATGACCGGAAATGTGTGGCTGTTAAAGGCAAAAGGTTGGGTCAAAAAGATCGCGAATTATGCTAAAATGACCGTCTCTTAAGAAAGCATTGACAACTAAAAAGTAGATGACCGTTTCATGCTTTGCACAGCCGGACTTTTACCGGACATTATACAATTGTCCGGAATATATGACCGTTTTGGAAGCCTTGATTCAAAACTACATGCCATCAATAATTTGTCTTTTCAGAATTCAAAGGGTAATCTCATAGTCCATACACCAAAATGAAAATAATGTTACGTCATTGGTTCAATTTCCATTGTTAACAACATTTTAAACCAATCACAACGTTTTGGTGTACGCTTTTAAAAATACTACCCAGAATGCATTAGATTCTGAAACGGCGAATTGGTATATGGAAACTAAACTTGATCAAGGAGGAAATTGTAATGGTGTTAAAGTATGCTCAGTTTAAACCTTATTAAAGCTTATCTTATCTCCAACTACTTTTCTAAATTTATTTTTTTAGATTTTACTTTAAAGAGAGCTTAATTTCGTACAAATAATGTATGGTTTTATAATAATAATTATCAAATAAAATTTTGAAGTTGAAAGTTTTACAGCAATCATTAGTAGTTAAAATAAACACATACCTTAACAGGAAAATTTCTTTTTCCTCTCCTCATATATTCCTCTAAACTTTTTTCTTTCATTAAATACTTTTGATTTGATAATATCTCTCCTTGTCAAAAAGTCACTCTCTTGTGCCATTACATTTGGACATAACTCCATAAATATTTTTATGTCCTTAAAACCTAGATAAAATATCATGTCTGTATTAATAAAAAAAAATATAATTGAAACTATTTTAGAGATTTGGTCTCTGCTTCTTGGGTTTTCTTGAAATAACACTATACATATGGAGAATTCACTTTTGTGAATAAACTAGAGCCTCTAAAGAGCCTGTGTCGCTCACCTTGGTATATGTGCATATTAAACAAAGGACACAGATGGATTCATGACAAAATTGTGTTTTGGTGATGGTGATGTGTTTGTAGATCTTACTTTACTGAACATTCTTGCTGCTTACAATTATCTCTATCTATAATGAACTTGGCCCAGTAGTTAAAGTGGAAAATATTTTGTAAAAATTTACAAAAATTTACAAAATTTATGAAAATTGTAAAAAATTGACTATAAAGGGCAATAACTCCTTAAGGGGTCAATTACCAATTCAGGGGCAGCAACCCAACACTTGTTGCCTGATTGGTGTGAAAATTTCAGGGCAGATAGATCTTGACCTAATGAACAATTTTATCTTGTCAGATTTGCTCTAAATGCTTTGGTTTCAGAGATATGAGCCAAAAACTGCATTTTATCCCTATGTACTATTTTTTAGCCATGTTGGCCATCTTGGTTCGCGGGCGGGGTCATCGGACACATTTTTTAAACTAGAAACAATAATGATGATTGTGGACAAGTTTGGTTAAATTTGTCTCAGTAGATTCAGAGGAGAAGATTTTTGTAAAAGATTACAAAAATTTACGAAAAATGGTTAAAAATTGACTATAAAGGGCAATAACTCCTTAAGGGGTCAACTGACAATTTTGGTCAAGTTGACTTAATTGTAGATCTTACTTTGCTGAACATTATTGCTGTTTACAGTTTATCTCTATCTATAATAATATTCAAGGTAATAACCAAAAACGGCAAAATTTTCTTAAAATTACCAATTCAGGGGCAGCAACCCAACAAGGTGTTGCCTGATAGGTCTGAATATTTCAGGGCAGATAGATCTTGACCTGATAAACAATTTTAGCCTATGTCAGATTTGCTCTAAATGCTTTTGTTTTCAGAGATATGAGCCAAAAACTGCATTTTACCCTATGTACTATTTTTTAGCCATGTCTGCCATCTTGGTTCGTGGGCGGGGTCATCGGACACATTTTTTAAACTAGATACAATAATGATGATTGTGGACAAGTTTGGTTAAATTTGTCTTAGTAGTTTCAGAGGAGAAGATTTTTGTAAAAGATTACAAAAATTTACGAAAAATGGTTAAAAATTGACTATAAAGGGCAATAACTCCTTAAGGGTTCAACTGACCATTTTGGTCATGTTGACTTATTTGTAGATCTTACTTTGCTGAACATTATTGCTGTTTACAGTTTATCTCTATCTATAATAATATTCAAGATAATAACCAAAAACGGCAAAATTTTCTTAAAATTACCAATTCAGGGGCAGCAACCCAACAACGGGTTGCCTGATTGGTCTGAAAATTTCAGGGCAGATAGATCTTGACCGAATGAACAATTTTATACTCATCAGATTTGCTCTAAATTCTTTGGTTTCAGAGATATGAGCCAAAAAATGCATTTTACCCTATGTACTATTTTTTAGCCATGTCGGCCATCTTGGTTCGCAGGCGGGGTCATCGGACACATTTTTTAAACTAAATACCCTAATGATGATTGTGGACAAGTTTGGTTAAATTTGTCTTAGTAGTTTCAGAGAAGATTTTTGTAAAAGATTACAAAAATTTAGGAAAAATGGTTGAAAATTGACTATAAAGGGCAATAACTCCTGAAGGGGTCAACTGACCATTTTGGTCAAGTTGACTTATTTGTAGATCTTACTTTGCTGAACATAATGGCTGTTTACAGTTTATCTCTATCTATAATAATATTCAAGATAATAACCAAAAACGGCAAAATTTCCTTAAAATTACCAATTCAGGGGCAGCAACCCAACAACGGGTTGTCCAATTCATCTGAAAATTTCAGGGCAGATAGATCTTGACCTGATAAACAATTTTACATGTCAGATTTGCTCTAAATGCTTTGGTTTCAGAGATATAAGCCAAAATCTACATTTTACCCCTATGTTCTATTTTTAGCCATGGCGGCCATCTTGGTTGGTTGGCGGGGTCACCGGACACATTTTTTAAACTAGATACCCCAATGATGATTTTGGCCAAGTTTGGTCAAATTTGGCCCAGTAGTTTCAGAGGAGAAGATTTTTGTAAAAGTTAACGACGACGGACGACGACGATGACGGATGACGACGACGGACGCCAAGTGATGAGAAAAGCTCATTTGGCCCTTTGGGCCAGGTGAGCTAAAAAGTTACTGAAAGAAGCATAATCTAAGTATTCTAATTCTTGGCAATCTCATCAATTGGCAACTATATTCTATTGCTACTGTTTGATACCAATTAGCATTAAATGAGCTTTGTTTGTAGATGATTCCCCAAAGTAATCAGTTTCAAAGCATTTAAAAGAATCCAATCTTTTATGGTAATATTCTTTACAAAGCACAAAAATGTTGGCATTCACCTCAAGAGCTAACCAAACCTTTAAAGACTTATTAAGAAGGGATAGAGTTACGATACTGTTGTCAGGTCATTAAAGATGGCATATTTTGGCTTTAATATTGATTCACTCATAGGGTCTTTGCATCGGAAATACATTTATTCTAAAACCAGTTGTTGGCATGATACGGGTTATGTTCTTCTCATATATTTTATGATGGTATGATACTAAACCCCTAACGGGAGGGATTGTGCTTGATTTTCATATGATGAAGACATAACTTTCAATCAGTTTAAGTGAGGTCTGGAGTTGGCATGTAAGTAACTACTAGTAGTCTTTTGTTAATTTATGTATCATTGTCATTTTGCTTAGTTTCTTTTGTTACCAATTCTGACATCAGACTCGGATTTCTTTTAAACTGAGTTTTACTGTGCGTATTGCTGTGTGTTTGTTTTTCTACATTGGCTAGAGGTATAGGGGGAGGGTTTAGATCTCACAAAACATGTTTAACCCTGCCCCATTTTTGCGCCTGTCCCAAGTCAGGAGCCTCTGGCCTTTGTTAGTCTTGTATGATTTTTAATTTTAGTTCATTTATATGTTTCAGAGTTTAGTATGACGTCCATTATCACTGAACCAGTACAGTATCAGCTGAAGCACGCCTCAGGGTGCGGGATTTTCTCGTTGCGTTGAAGACCAATTGTAGGCATTGGCTGTTTTCTGCTCTTTGGTCGGGTTGTTGTCTCTTCCCCAATTCCATTCTCAATTTTATTTTCACAAAATTATAATGATATGATTGTCAATGAGACAACTCTCCACTAGAGTCCAAATTAGTAGAAGTTAAAAACTATAGGCCACCATACTTCTTTTAACCATGAGCTATAAAACCCATACCACATAGTAAGCTTTAAATGCCACAGGAATGAGAAATTAAAATCAATTCAATGAGAAAACTAACTACCAATGACAGCCATAGCTAGCTTAAACAAATACAGTGCAACTTACATGACATAGCAATGTTGAAAAATTTTAAACAATGTCAACGAATAAGCTTCTCATTGGAGCATTTCAGGTGTAACTCTACTTTTGAGTTCGTTACATTTCCGTCAAAAATTTTGGTTTTATTGAACCTCATTTGTGCATATATGTGCTTCGAACTTCCTTCCTATGTTGAGCAAGCTAGTGAAAAAATAGGATGCCATATTGCAAAGATTATTCAGCAAATTAAATTCTTATAATTGATAATAAGCACTGCTGTGATTAAGTACCTAGGGAACAAACATTGTTTCTAGCTTATCCTGCATAATGATGATCACGAAGACACTTGATGATCTTTAAAAGTGCAGGGATACAGGCATTCCTCTAAATCTGGTTCTGGTTTATGACGTGACCAAGGCATGATAATTGACAAACCTTTCTGGTGAAGGACATAACTTGAAAGTGGTCTATTAGGCCAAGTCAGAAAGGTCATACCAGAAAGAAGTTCATATTTGAAACAAAATAGTTCCTATGCATATATGTAGCTTTCAGTTAACCCTGCCTCATATCTTGACTAACATTTATAAATTGACAATAAGGGTCAGTTGAAAGCAACCTTTTAACAATGATTTCAGTTTTCAAACTGTGAACTTTCCATTAGAATGAAAAACAAGCGGCTCTAAAGAGCCTGTGTTGCTTACGTTGGTCTATGTACATACAATGTATTTTAAATAAAGGACAATCTCCAACATTGTAGACAAGAATAAGAATTCATGACAAAATCTCTGTTTAATTGATCTTGTATTACTGATCATTTAGTCTGTTTAGTTTCTCTCAATTTTCTTTAGTTTTTGCTTAAAACACATAAGAGGGTAAAAAAAAATCCTCATTTAAGAGCTATCACTTCTATAAAGAGTAAGAGTCTACCAAATATATCTGCAAAATTTGACTTCTTAGTAGATCTTGCCATGCTGATCATTTTTGTGATCTAAAGTGTTTATTATCTATTATAATTTTTGTCATATATATAAGGCAAAACGCAGAGAAAATGGTAAAAAAAATCGTCATTAAAGGGCAATAACTCCAATAAGAAGTCCTCGGACAATTTCCTCCAAATTGTCTTATTTGTAGAACTTGTCTTGCTGATCATTTATGCAATATAAAGTTTCTCTTTTTCTATCATAGTTTTCAAGATAAACGCCAATAAACTGCTTCGCTGAGTGCAGCTAGATACGCCAACAGATGTCCAACCCTGAACAGTCGGGGAAAAAATGGACACAATATTCAAGCTTGATTCAGGTCTGAATTTGGATTGTAATTAAATATTTGACATATTATAGGTTTCTGAATAAATGTAGTCAAAGAACTTGAAATTGGTTATATGAATTGAATTTATATTCAATTAAAGATTTCTTGCTGTTGTGCAATACTTAGTAAATCTGTTGTCAATTTAGAAATTTATGAAAATAAAAAGGGAGCTTACATCAATAGATATAAACAATTCACCAAAGTTTCATGAGAATTGCAAATTGGTGACAGCATTTTTGAGTTATTGTCCGAAAACTTGAAAATCACCCCTTTTTTTAATGAATAAAACCCCATAACTCAGAAATGTAAAATGTAAAATTTATAAAATTTTAAAGGGAGCTTACATCAATACATACAAACAATTCACCAAAGTTTCATAAGAATTGCTGAAAGCATTTTGTGAGATTTTGTCCGAAAACTGGAAAATCCCTCCTTTTTTTATGAATAAAACCCTGCAACTCGGAAACGTAAAATCTTAAATTTATAAAAATCGAACGGGAGCTCGTGTCAATAGATATAAACAATTTACCACAATTTCTTGCGAGTTGGTGAAAGCATTCTTGACTTATTGTCCGAAAACTGGAAAATCCCCCTTTTTTAAATGAATAAAACCCCATAACTCGGAAACGTAAAATCTAAATTTTATAAAAATCAAAAGGGAGTTCACGTCAATAGATATAAACAATTCACCAAATTTTTATGAATATTGGTTAAAGCATTTTTGAGTTAATGTCCGACATGTTGACGACGGACAGACGGACGGACAGACAGACAGACAACGGTATACCATAATACGTCCCGTAAACGGGCGTATAAAAATGGAAAAAAAAATGGTAAAATTTGTAATTTAAGGGCAATCACTCATATAAGAAGTTTTCTGACAGTTTTAACATAAATGTACATTTGATAGAGCTCAACATTCAGAACATTTTTGCCCAGTCAAATTTTCTCTTTTTATAACGGTTTTCAAAATAACACCAATAACTTGCATTTTACCCCTATGTTCTATTTTTAGCCATGTCTGCCATCTTGGTTAGCAGGCGGTGCCATAGGAGAAATTTTAAAACTAGATACACCAATGAAGATTGTAGCCAAGTTTGGTTAAATTTGGCCAAGTAGTTTCAGAGGAGAAGGTTTTTGTACGATGACAGATGACAACAATGATGACAAGTGGTGAGAAAAGCTCACCAGGACCTTAGGGCCAGGTGAGCTAAAAAGAGAGGCAAAAGATACAAAAGGGACATTCAAACTAATAAGCTTGATAGGAAAAACAAGTTCTTTAATATCTTTTCAACTGGGAAATATATACTCCATATGCAGGCACTATTGGAATGATGCTAAATAGAAATGGGAAGTTCACAATTGGGAAGCAGAAATCGTCTCTTTGGTTGTAAACTTTTGTTCTCAACCAACCCTCATTGTCAATTGCTAGATGTAAGTCAAGATATGAGGCAGACTTAACAATATCTGTTGTATCCTGTATTTCAAGTTCCATGGGACAGATGCATTCAACATAGTCAACAAACTTTTAATCATTTACTGTGAGGACATCATCTTTATAGTGGTATGCGGTTGAAAAACCCTGATCTCAATGAAATTACCAAAATTATTTCTGTTAAAAAAAATGTGTTTGACCTAAATCCCAATCTGACACAGTGTTCTAGAATTCCCATTTCCCGTCACCCGTGGCAAGTTGATTTAGGTCACGGGAAAGTGGAAATTCAAACCTTTGTTGTCCGTGGGCAAGTAAAATTAATTTACAGAAACTTCCAATTCATGCAGATCAAACGGTCGATGAAACAGTTGTATTCTTTAAATCTTTTATTTCAATCAAAGTCTCAAGGCAAGATCGTTTTTGTTGGTGTAAATCATGCAGGGGTTTTAAAGTCTAGGGGAGAGAAACGTGCGCACATGTTTCGCAATCACAGTCATAAAGACGCTTGCTAGCTAAGCAAGGGAAATCCGTGACTTCAAGCATCCATCTGATCTAGACGCAAAAAACTAATAACCAGAATGCAAATGGTAAAAGATTTAATATCCGGATTTCAAGTTGTTGATTTTCTGCTTGAAATGTTATCACTTTTTTGTGCCAATACATTTGAATTACTGAAGTTACATTGTTTATGTCACAAATAGACATGTGTCAAACTTAAATTAATATATTTCAAAACAAAATTAATATATTCCATCAAATTTTTTGTATATCTAGATGAACATGACATTGAATTATCAACACAATCACAAGCTAGTTTGACAAACTAATTAATTTCAAAGGAAATAACAGAGTTCATAATTTCAAATTGAACTACATGTATAAACATGCGATAAAAGGAATAAGAAAATTATGAAAACATTTTATGTCATGATGTTCTGAGAGCTCAAACATGCAAATAAAAGTTACTTGATTTTTTCCATTGAAGTTTCTGTATTATTCTTCAAACATGTGCAGCTTTAAAAGAATATAGATGTATAAACTCTCTATGACCAGTACCTAAACCATGTCAAAATCAAGGAAACCAAAACGTCATCATTACTTGTTTTGAATATATATATATATATATATATATATATATATATACTGCAGCTGTGCTATTTGTGCATTCAAATTGCATTGACCGTATATTCATTTGTGATATACAGTCATCGCCTTGTTTATGACGTTGACAATGCGATTCCTTAGAGTTTTATTTATGACGTCAATAAAACATACAGATTCGAGGAAATTTTAAGTTGTCCACTTCAATTTAAAAAATAATGGTTTTTACCATACATATTTCATTTGGAACAGTTTATATTTTGAGACAATGTATGGTTATTCTATATATACACTCCAACCTAAATTATTTAGAAATCTTTTTTAAATACAGTGCTTGTTTCAAAATATATTGAATATTATAGTTATTTTGGTATCAAATGAAAGTGAGAAAACTTGTGACCATTGCAGAACACATACTTTTTGACTGACTTTTTTTAATAATAAAATCCATGCATTAAATTCAAATAGTAGGGCTTGAATCAGTGGTGTTTCTACTTCAGGATATTGACCTTAATACTATATGTAATACAACATACCAGGCATTCTCCCTTTTGCACCTTCTTTAGATACATCCTGGATATATTGTTTGAAGTAGGATTTTACAGTGTTTGAATCTTTCTCACTCCATTGAACATATCGTCTTCCTACAAAGAAAATTATGCAAATCTATAATTTATAAGAGCTGTTTCAAAATAGGTACATATTTAATGGCGGACCTGTAAGTAAGAATATGGTTGATACAGTTGGATTCCTTTTCTTACACTCTTGTCATTTTCAAGAATGAATGATCGAAGATAATGTAATTTTTTGGTGTTTGATAATATTTATATTTGTTTATAAATAACAACAAATTTATTTAAAAAGGATAATAATGGTACATGTCACTAAATTTCTTTCCAGCACACAGCTGGTTTAATACACTAAACTTTAATATTACGTTAAGCTTTCAAGTGTTAAATTGGAATTGCAATAATTCAAATCAATTTGTTTGAGGTGATTAATTGTCACTATATTGTTTTGTGGAAATAACCAACATTTTTATTTTCAAATGAAGATTCCCTTTTGTTCCATTCAGAGTAATGAGGAGCTATCCCTGAAGGAATAGTAGTGGACACAGGGTAACCTCATCATTATTGATGGAGATGCATGCATGGCCAATTTTATAGAATATTTACAATCTAATGTACTTAGGCCGTAAGTTTCCTTGTTTGTATTGTTTTACATTTGTCATTTCAAGGCCTTTTATAGCTTACTATGCGGTATGGTTTGCACGTTGTTGAAGACCATACCATGACCTACAGTTGCTAATTTCTACATAATTTGGTCTCTGGTGGAGAGATGTCTCATTGACAATCATATTGCATCGTCTTATTTTAATATCAATTGAGTACTAAAAATTCAAACAGCGTTTTGACTAGATAGTTGACTTCAGGGTTGTAAAAACATGTTGAAGCTCCTTGTTGTCCATATGGTGACCATCATTTCATTATTCAGAACATTCATTCAATGCATTCCAAAAAAATTGAAACAATTTAATACTATGTGTCTTTTTTTTATTAGAGAACCCATCAACAATATAGCTTTGATCTTTAAGATATAAATTTCAGTAAAATCTATACTGATCATCTTTTATCCAAAATACATGAATACTCCCTCTTTTCCAAATGACTTATTAAACTTTAATAGCCACTGCTTTATTCTCAAAAACATACCTTTCTTTCTTGTTCTAAATAGTTCTGCAATTTCTTCTTCAATTTCCTCATCTACAATAAAGTTACCAATTTGACTAAATTTGGTCCAATATATGAATGATTGGTGTATTGCAATTCATACATTAATTACTATTCATGTAATGATGCTGACCATTAAAGTCAAAGATGGAAAATCTTTTATTAAAGGCTGCATATAAAGTTCAAAAGATCGGGTCCAGTCTCAGACTACAAGACATCCCCCCCCCCCCCCCCCCTAAATGATCCCAGGTTAACCAGGGCAGTTGATTCATAAAACTTAAATTTGAAATAGCTATTGAATATTTGACCATAATAACCCTCTTAATTTACTTCCCTGTTAGAGTTAGTGTTCATGTTGTTGGTAACTGCACTGCACATGTTTTCTATTGGGTATTTGAGTGTTGTGTGTACAAGATAGGCAAAGAGAGAGGTTTACTGGTTTTAACAGTTTCAATATCACCTCATTTTGTGGCCAATGTCAGTCTATCTAGACTAATAAAATTGAGAATGGAAATGGGGAATATGTCTAAGAGACAACAACCCGACCAAAGAGCAGATAACAGCTGAAGGCCACCAATGGGTCTTCAATGGAGCAAGAAAATCCCGCAGTTGGCCCCTAAATAAAAATCTGAGTCGGAAGTCAGAATTGGTAACAAAAGAAACTATGCAAAATGACAATGATACATAAATAAACAAAGAGCTACTAGCAGTAACTGACATGCCAGCTCCAGACCTCAATTAAACTGATTGAAAGATTATGTCTTCATCATATGAAAATCAAGCACAATCCCTCCCGTTAGGGGTTTAGTATCATACCATCATAAAATATACAAGAACATAACCCGTATCATGCCAAAAACTGGTTTTATAATAAATGTGTTTATTTGCGATGCAAAGACCCTATGAGTGAATCAATATTAATACCAAAATATGCCATCTTTAATGACTTGACAACAGTATCGTAACTATATCCCTTCTGAATAAGTCTGTTTTAAGGTTTGGTTAGCTTTTGAGGTGAATTTTTGTGCTTTGTAAAGAATATTACCATAAAAGATTGGATGTGAAATACCTGAACTTATAAGATGTCTGCATGTTGATTTATATTTACGAATGATGTCCTTGTACCGATGATAAAATTTAGTAAATGTTTTGACTAGTTTGTGATATCGAAAACCCTGGTGTAATAATTTTTCAGTAATACAGAGATTTCTTTAGTTAAAATCAAGTACGTTGTTACATACACAAGAGAATCAAACAAGTTGAGATATATAAACACCATAAGATGGTGACAAGGGAACGTCACCATCTAAAAATGGATAATAGGAAATGAATAAACAAAGTGCTGGATAGCACCTGTTGAAAGTTTGCAACCGTAGATGTGTATTATTTCAAATAGGTATTTAACCACAGCGTTGATTTTTTTTACTAAACCATTGTCTTATTGTCTGTTGTACTGTGCAGTATGTTTTTTGTGATTCCACCTAAGCCCTTTAATGGATAACTGCATGTATGAGAAGGTATATGACACAGGCACTTTTTTTGTCACCTTGAATCAGAAAATCTTGCATCAAGAAATATCCATTCAATATTCACAAGAAATTCATCTCTAATACTTATCATCCTTTGATTTTAGTTGTCTACAAAAAGAATCCCTAGTGTGGACAGTGTATATAAACAAATATATAACTTGCAATTTTTTTTCATACACCTTCAAAATTTCATTTTTTTTTTTTATTTTTTTGCATAAAATAGTAAGCAGGTAAGAGGGGGATGAAATTACATATAAAAAAACAAGAGTGCACACGCTGAAATGTCTCACCTTCTTTACTAATCATTGATATTATGTTGATAGTCCTAAATATAAAGCTTTATTACAACTGTCACATAAACTTAACATTAACCAAGTAAACTAAACATTGACCAATGAACCATGAAAATTAGGTCAAGGTCAGATGAACCATGCTAGGCAGGCATGTACAGCTAACAATTCTTCCATACAACAAATATAGTTGACCTATTGCTTATAGTTTAAGAAAAACAGACCAAAACACAAAAATTTAACACTGAGCAATGAACCTTGAAAATGAGGTCAAGGTCAAATAAAACCTGCGTGACTGACATATAGATCATAAAATATTTCCATACACCAAATATAGTTGAACTATTGCATATAGTATTAGAAAAAAAGACCAAAACTCAAAAACTTAACTTTGACCACTGAACCTAAAATGAGGTCAAGGTCAGATGACACCTGCCAGCTAGACATGTACATCTTACAATCATTCCATACACCAAATATAGTAGACCTATTGCATACAGTATAAGAAAAACAGACCAAAACACAAAAACTTAACTATAACCACTGAACCATGAAAATGAGGTCAAGGTCAGATGACACCTGCCAGTTGGACATGTACACCTTACAGTCCTTCCATACACCGAATATACCAGACCTATTGCTTATAGTATCTGAGATATGGACTTGACCACCAAAACTTAACCTTGTTCACTGATCCATGATATGAGGTCGGGGTCAAGTGAAAACTGTCTGACGGGCATGAGGACCTTGCAAGGTACGCACATACCAAATAAAGTTATCCTATTACTTATAATAAGAGAGAATTTTACATTACAATATATCTTAACTTTTTTTTCAAGTAGTCACTGAACCATGAAAATGAGGTCAAGGACATTGGACATGTGACTGACAGAAACTTCATAACATGAGGCATCCATATACAAAGTATGAAGCATCCAGATCTTCCACCTGCTAAAATATAAAGCTTTTAAGAAGTTAGCTAACGCCGCGGCCGTAGCCGCCGGATCACTATTCCTATGTCGAGCTATCTGCTACAAAAGTCGCAGGCTCGACAAAAATTGGCTATGAATTTTTAAGTAAAGAAGTGATTTGGTCCAGTTTGAAAAGATCAAAAGTTTGTATGCCTGAAGCTGTCAAACTGAATTATGGACCCCTTTAACTGAAAATTGTCCATATTTTTAGTTAGAACCGATAAAATTTTCTAAAATTATGACATAATTTGTCTCAAGAGTGGTACACTTTTTTTTTAATGTAGCAGTAGCATTTTCTTATTTTGTGTTTTTTGTCAAATATGCCCTATGAAATAACTGTGTTCTCTGGACAGGTATAGTGTTTATAATAATAAATTTTAATTGATAGAAATTATTGTCCTTATTACCTTTGCTCTTTCTTTTCAATCCTCTCTTTTGTTGAATGTTGCCTAAAAAGGAAACAATAACTTTGAGACTAATTATCTGACCTAAACACTCCTTTTTAACCAGGTCCGTACTTACACCAGCAACACCACCGGTGCCACATGTGGACCAGGGTCTGCTCAACCATCTTGTGCACTTGAGATCACTCCTGTTTTTTGTTGGGGCTTGTGTCAATCAGTCTGGAGTTATCTAAGTTGAATGTTGTTAATCGTTGTTGGTCTTTTGGTCTTTTTCATTTTCTGTCATGGCCTTGACACTTTTTTTTTTCAAATTAAGTTTGAATGACTCTTTGGTTTCTTTTTCCTCTGTTTTGTTCATTGTTTTTGGTTAAATATATATATGAGCCTTAATCAAAGATATATTTTACACACATTAATTTCCGATGAAGCTGTCACTTAATCTAAATATTAATGACAAGACCTCAATACACGAAATGCAGGAAATTTGATGGTTTTATACCAATTTGTAAGACAAATTTTCCTACAAAAAGATTTGGTCTAGTCTAGATCTTTAAATATGAACCAGGTATAAATAAAATTTAAGAAAAATTCTTAAGGGAACTTAGGGGCATTACTCTTCATTTGTAAAACTCAAAACCATCAAATTCAACTTAATCAAGATTTCACAAACTATGACATTGCCTTAAAATTTGAAGATTAGGTATAGTGGTACTTTTTATCATCCGGAAACCAAATAATTACCTGATTTTTAATAACTAAAGTATGTTCTCTTTGACTAGTAAATGCTAAAACAAACTAAATCAAACTTGACTGAGTTTTGTGATTCATGTCATTGTGTTCAAGATTCAAAAGATTTGGTTAAGATGTATAATCATCATCATCAGGAAATTTAAGAAAATTATTAAGGTCAGTAAGGGGCATCCTTTTTGAACAATAAATGTCAAAACAAACAAATCTCAATTGACCTGTATTTTATGGTCCACAACATTATTTCAAAAGAATTGTTTGAGTGGCAGAGTGGTACTTAATTTTCCTTAGATAAGGTATTAAAAAGAAATACCTTCATCAGAACTGTCATCACTTTGTGGACTAGAATCATCCTCTGAAGAACTGTATTTAATGACTGAAAAAATGTTTATCAAAAATAAGGTTCATCTCATATATGACTGTCCATAATAAATAAAAAAAATATGTGTAAACAAGTAAAATCAAAACAATAATTATTAACAGTATCAAAGAATGCTCATATTTACTAATCATTAACCTGCTTAATCATGACATATTCCACTAACATCTGAGATTCCATTTAATATATATCAGTCAATTTGTTTCATTAACTTTTTATGGGTATCAATTTTTGGAAATGGAGCAAATATTGTATTTTCATGGATACTTGATTTTGGGTTTTGCTTAAGTCTGCAGTCCTGCTTATAGCAAATTTTGATTTTGCTGATTACCAAAATTTGTAATTCACATAAACCACCAATTCAAAAAAATTACCAAACAATTAATAGTGAATTCACAGTATTTAAAATAAGTTAAAAAAAGTAATAAAGAGTAGAAAAGTTTATATTCAATCCATAAAACAACCATAAAAAAATGTATTAAAAAACAATATACCTCTATTCTTTCTTTTTTTCCCTCTCTTTGCTTTTCCAAAACTTGAACTTGAACCTGAATCTATTATAAAAATGTAATCACTCAAATATACAGATGCAAAATTGCAGAGTCCTGTTCACCAAAAAAAGTGTGTGTATACAAATGTTTATTTAATGGTTGTTTAAAGGTTGTCTTTACATTTTAATTCAGGAATATTAGAAAAGGTTTCTTTGAAAACATTTTATATTAGATATTTTTTTTACTTTTATCTCTTATCAAAACATTCCACCACTCTGTTATATGTGAAACGATTCAAAAATGAAATTTTGATTTCTATTAATGATAATCATAATGGATTTTTCGAAAAGTTTCTATAATTGATTACCATTAAACTAGTTTTCCAAGTGCACAGAATTACTTTAATAGTTTGTATTTTAATTATCCATAATTCATAATTTAGATAAACATACCCTCATCACTCTCTGTTATATCTGTATTTTCATCAGTACCACCACTATTGTCATATGAAGTACCCGCAACATCTTCTGAAAAAAAAATAGGGAATGTGTCCACAGAATATGCCCCTGCTTGCATATATAACATCATAAAGGGACATAACTCAAGTACTGTAAACTAGAGGCTCCTTGGAGCCTATGTCGCTAACCTGATATTTTTTTTTTACAATTGATGCATGAAATAATGCAACCATTTAAATTTTGCTTTAGTTTCAGAGATATAAGCTAAAACTGCATTTACCCATATGTTCTATTTTTAGCTATGTCATCCATGTACATTTGGCCCTATAGTTTCAGAGGAGAAGATTTTTGTAAAAGTTAACAGACAACGAAAATGCACAAGGACAGACAACTTACCCAAAATGATGAGAAAAGCTCACTTTTTAATAACATGAGCAACACTAAGGGTGCCACATGTGGAGCAGGATCTGCTTACCCTTCCGTAGCACCTGAGATCACCCCCAGTTTTTGGTGGGGTTCGTGTTGCTTAGTCTTTAGTTTTCTATGTTGTGTCTTGTGTACTATTATTTGTCTGTTTGTCTTTTTCATTTTTAGCCATGGTGTTGTCAGTTTATTTTTCATCTATGAGTTTGAATGTCCCTCTGGTATCTTTTGCGCTTCTTTTTTGGCCCTTTTAAGCATAGCCAGTTGAGCTAAAAAAAAGTGACATTATCTAAATTTGTACTCCATCTGAGTTTTGTGGTAATAAGCATTGTGTATAAGTTTCATAACATTAAGTTGAGGCAAATTTAAGTAAGATAACTGAAATGAAAAATTCTGCAATTTTTTCATTTGGAAAGGGACATTATTACCTATAAAAACGATTAAGTTGAAACCACCAAAATTAAAACTTGATCTGTGTTTTGTGGTAATTATCATAGTGCATAAGTTTTATAACTTTTGGTTGAGGCAATATAAAGTCACTACAGGACAGAACCGAATATCTCAGCAATTTTTCCATTTATAAAGGGGCAAAACTCTAGAACGGTAAAAGCGACGCCACCAAAATTCAAACATGATCTGAGTTTTGTAGTAATAAGCATTATGTATAAGTTTCATAGCATTTGGTTAAGGCAAACTAAAGTTAAACAGAAACAAAAAATTCACCAATTTTTCCATTTGGAAAGGGGCATACTTAGTCTACTGTCTAGAACAATAAAAGTGACACAAACAAAATTCAGACATGATCTGTGTTTTGTAGTAATTAGCATTGGGTAAAAGTTTCATAACATTTGGTTGAGGCAAACAGAACAGAAACGAACAATTTTTCCATTTATAAAGGGGCATTACTCTAAAATGATAACAGTGACGCCAAATTGAATCTTGATCTGGGTTTAGTAGTTATAAGTGTGTGTATAAGTTTCATAATATTTGATTGAGGCAAACTAAAATAAGAGAAAGGAAACTAACTTTTTGGGCCTATGGGCATACGGTCATACAGATGGACAAGGGCAAAACTAAATGCCCCCTCTGCTACAGTGGGGGCATTAAAAGGATTCTCTTTTATTTGTAGCCTTAACAAGAGGCTCTCAAGAGCCTGAATTGCTCACCTGTATTTCAGAGGAGAAGATTTTTAAATGTTAGCAAACTTGATGAATAAATTGTGTAAAATTGTCTTTAAAGGGCAATAACTCCTTAAGGGATCAATTGACAATTTTAGTCATATTAACTTTTTTGTAGATCTTACTTTGCTGAACATTATTGCTGCTTACAGTTTATATATATCTATAATAATATTCAAAATAATAACAAAAAACTGCAAAATTTTGATAAAACTACCAATTCGGTGGCAGCAACCCAACAATGGATTGTTCGATTCGTCTGATAATTTCAGGGCCGATAGATCTTGACCAATTAAACAATTTTACCCCATGTCACATTTGCTCTAAAAGATTTAGTTTTTGAGATATTAGCCAAAAACTGCATTTGACCCTTATGTTCTGTTTTTAGCCATGGCGGCCATGTTTGTCTATGGATACAAACTTCGGATACAATTTATAAACAAGATACCCTAAGGAACATTTAGTTAAAGTTTGAAGGTAATTGGCCAAGTAGTTTCAGAGGAGAAGATTTTTAAATGTTAGCAAACTTAATGAATAAATTGTGTAAAATTGTCTTTAAAGGGCAATAACTCCTTAAGGGATCAATTGACAATTTTGGTCATATTAACTTTTTTGTAGATCTTACTTTGCTGAACATTATTGCTGCTTACAGTTTATATATATCTATAATAATATTCAAATTAATAACAAAAAACTGCAAAATTTTGTTAAACCTACCAATTCGGTGGCAGCAACCCAACAATGGGTTGTTCGATTCATCTGAAAATTTCAGAGCTGATATATCTTGACCAATTGAACAATTTTACCCCATGTCAGATTTGCTCTAAAAGATTTAGTTTTTGAGATATAAGCCAAAAACTGCATTTGACCCCTATGTTCTATTTTTAGCCATGGCGGCCATGTTTGTCGATGGATCAAAACTTCGGATACAATTTATAAACTAGATACCCTAAAGAACATTTAGTTAAAGTTTGAAGGTATTTGGCCCAGTAGTTTCAGAGGTGAAGATTTTTGAAATAGTTTACAACGACAGACGACGACAGACAACAACAGAAGACAGACGATGACGACAGACGACGAAGACGGACAACGACGGACGCCAAGTGATGGCATAAGCTCACATGGGGCCAAGGGCCCCGGTGAGCTAAAAAAGCTAAGCAAATTTTCAGATACAGCTTTTACAAAGTGTCATTATCAATTGAATAATCCAACAAATGTTATTTAACGATATTTAAAACAAAACAAAAATGATAAGCTTGGCGCAGCTTGATTCAACCGCAGAGGTCAAACCCTGAACAGTTGGGGCAAGTATGCACACAACATTCAAGCTTGATACAGCTCTGAATTTGGATAGTGATTAAATATTTGACACAGCATAGGTTTCTGACACAGAATGAATGTGGTCTAAGAACTTAAAAAAATTTGAATTTACCTATTATGGTCCAATATCCAAAATCTAAATACATACACGGTTAGATTAAGCATATCAAAGAACAACAAGAATTCAATTTTTGTTAAAATCAAACTAAGTTTAATTTTGGACCCTTTGGACCTTAATGTAGACCAATTTTAAAACAGGACCAAAAATTAAGAATCTAAATACACGGTTAGATTCAGCATATCAAAGAACCCCAATATTTCAATTTTTGACGAAATCAAACCTTATCATTATTATTTGCTTTTATATATAAATAAAAAATAACCAATTTAAAATGGAAAATTTTAAAGAAAGATAAAAAAAGGAAAAAAAAATCCCCCCCCCCCCCCCCCCCCCCCAATTTTTGAACCCCCTTATGATTCATAACCCCCAAACTCAATCCCAACCTTCCCTTTGTGGTATGGTAGCTTGCAGTACTATTTCAAAGAGATCCATACACTTGAACACAAGTTATTGTCTGGAAACTGTAAAAATGCTTGTTTTTTTGCCCCAAATTCCTAAACGTTTAGGGCAACTACCCCCAAACGCATACCCAGCTTTCCCTTTGTGAGATGGAACCTTGTAGTACAATTGCATAAAGATCCATACACTAACACACAAGTTATTGTCCTGAAACTAGAAAAATGCTTGTTTTTTTTGCCTCTTTTTGGCCCCTAATTCCTAAAATTTTGAGGCAATTTCCCCCAAAATAAATCCCAGCCTTCCCTTTGTGGTATGGTACCTTGCAGTACAATTTCAGAGAGATCAATACACATAAACACAAGTTATTGTCTGGAAACTAAAAAAATGCTTATTTTTTGCCTCTTTTTGGCCCCTTATTCCTAAACGTTTTGGGCAATTACCCCAAAACTCAATTCCAGCTTTCCCTATGTAAAATGGAACCTTGTAGTACAATTTCAGAAAGATCCATACACTTACACACAAGTTATTGTCATGAAACTAGAAAAATGCTTGTTTTTTGCCCCTTTTTTTGCCCCTAGTTCCTAAAATTTTGAGGCAATTACCCCTAAAATCAATCCCAGCATTCCCTTTGTGATATGGAACCTTGTGGTACAATGTCAGAGAGATCCATACACTAACACACAAGTTATTGTCTGGAAGTTACAAAAATGCTTATTTTTGGCCCCTTTTTGGCCCATAATTCCTTAACTGTTGGTACCATAACCCCCAAAATCAATCCCAATCTTCCTTTTATGGTATTGAACCTGATGGTAAAATTTCATAAGGATCCATTCACTTAAACTAAAGTTAATGTGCGAAAACCAATGTGTCTTTGGACAACGACAACGTCATAGTGATACCAATATACGACCGCAAAATTTTTTGTGATCGTATACAAATTATGTGTTAAAAAACTTTATAGGCAACTAAAATAAATTCAATTAATTTTAATCATTATACAAAGTAACATAAATTTTTACAACTTTACCTAATTGTACAATCATAATCAAGAAAATTGGTCTAGTCAGAATTTGTAACTAGACTTGAGGCTCTTTAGGAGCATTTCAGGGCAATAACTCCTACAAGAAGTTATCTGACAGTATTTATACAACTGGATAGATACTACATAGTTCTCATCAGTTCTGCCATGTCTGATTTTCTTTATTTATTATAGTTTTCAAGATAATAGACAAAACTTGATTTTTACCCCCTAATTTATTTTTTAGCCATATCAGTCATTTAGTGGCTATTTATAACTTACTAACCAGTATCGTTTCTACTCATTGTTAAAGGCCTTATGGTGATACAGTTTTGGTAATAACTGTTTATCACTTTCAATTATAGTTTGTGCAAAAACAGCACAAATACAAATAAAATGCTTTGCTGGGCACAGCCTGATACGACCACAGAGGTCAAACCCTGAACAGTTGGGGCAAATTTGGACACAGTATTCAAGCTTGATACTGTCTGAATTTGGATTGTGATCCAGTTTTTGACATAATTCAGGTTACTGACACAAGATAAATGTGGTCAAAGATCTTAAAAATCTATTGCGCAATACTGTGCAATTGAAGATTTCTTCTTGAAACTTATCAAATATTGAAATTTGAAAAATTTTGAAGAAAAAAAATTATGAACCCCTTAAAAAATTGTAAAAAAAATCCCCCCCCCCAACTTTTTGATCCCCCCTCTTGGAGCAATTACCCCATACTCAATCCCAGCATTCCCTTTGTAGTATGAAACCCTGTAGTACAATTTTAGAGAGATCCATATACTTAAAAACAAGTTATTGTCCGGAAACTACAAAAATGCTTGTTTTTGGCCCCTTTTTTGCCCCTAATTCCTGAATGCTTGGGGTTATTTCCCCCAAACTCACTCCCAGCCTTCCCTTTGTGATATGGAACATTGTCGTACAATGTCAGAGAGATCCATACACTTACACACAAGTTATTGTCCGGAAACTACAAAAATGCTTGTTTTGGCCCCTTTTTGGCCCCTAATTCCTAAACTGTTGGTACCATAACCCCTTAAATCAATCCCAATCATCCTTTTGTGGTATTGAACCTTCTTGTAAAATTTCATAGAGATCCATTCATTTAAACTAAAGTTATTGTCCTGAAACCAAATGTGTCTTTGGACGATGACGAAGACGACGCAGACGACTACGACATCATAGCATTATACGAGCCCCAAAAATATTTTGCAGTTATATAAAGGCATTAACTCCTAAAGGAAGTAAGTTGACAATTACAGCCATGTTGCTTATTTGTAAGACTCATTGTACTTAACATCTTTGTTTTTTACTAGTTCTCATCCTTATCTATAAAGATTTCTGCAAAAATGAAATAAAGAGCTGCACCATATGCATATACACCTGCTGCCCATTTTGCTCATCTTCATGCTTTTAATGAAATTCTATAACCGTCAATGGTGTGAAAAATTGACAGTTTTCAACAATTTGTCAATAAATAAAGTTCTCAATGTCATTTATATGTAAAAAAAAAAAACAACAGACAGCTTATTTCAATAGATATAAACAAGTCATCAAAGTTTCATGAAAACTGCTCAAATCATTTTTGAGTTATTGTCCCAACTCTGAAAATAAATCCCCTTTTTTAGGAATTAAGTCCAAATACTTAAAAAACATAAAATCAGATACTTTTGAGTATGTACTTGAGCTTGAATACATATATTTTCATATATATCTGTCTTTAAACATACTACCTTGGTCAGCATTTTGCATTTTTGCTGGTAATGACTGAGAATCAGGATAAGCTTTAATACCATCTAAATATAAAAAAAAATCAGAGTGTTAACATAAGTCAACAAATGCTTGACAAAATTTATAAAGATAGAATATGCCAGATGCAGTTTTATTGTCTGAATATAATGTGGGCTTGTCAATATAATTTAACATAAGAAGGCATCACTAAATGTCATTGCAAAACCAGTATCTACTATTTAGGGTATAGAATTAAGACTACCAAACTCAATTTTTTCGTCTTTATTGCAATCTTTGGTAGACTACAGAGGGGGTAAATTTTTCTATGATTTCATTTTATAATTTTAAATAATAATCGTGCATCTTAATTTAGTTTAAGCCACTATTTTAAAACATTTCATTTTTCGAACTGCCATTTGAGTCTTGCATGTAGGTCATAGTTGTTTACTCTTTGGTAGGGTTGTTGTCTCTGACACATTCCCCATTTCCATTCTCAATTTTACTTAAGCAGATAATTAACAACCTCATATTTCAGTTATGATTATTTCTCATAGCTATAATAAAACTGAGAAGGAAATTGGAGGTGTGTCAAAGAGAAAACAATCCGACCAAAGAGCAGAAAACGGCCAAAGGCCACCAATATGTCTTCAACACAAAAAAATCCCGCACCCTAAGGCAGGCTTCAGCTGGCTTCTAAACAAAAATGTGTATTAGTTCAGTGAAAATAGACATTACACTAAACTCCAAAACATATAAATGAACTAAAAACGTAATAACATACAAGACTAACAAAGGCCAGAGGCTCCCGACTTAGGACAGGTGCAAAAATGGTTAGACATGCTTTGTGAGATCTCAACCCTCCCCAATTACCTCTAGCCAATGAAGAATAAACAAACACCGCAATACACAGTAAAAATCAGTTTAAAAGAAGTCTGATGTCAGAGTAGGTAACAAAAGAAACTAAGCAAAATTAAATGACATTGATACATAAATTAACAAAGGACTACAAGCAGTTACTGACATGCCAGCTCCAGACCTCAATTTATCTGATTGAAAGATTATGTCCTCATCATATGAAAATCAAGCAGAAACCCTTCCGTTAGGGGTTAAGTATCATACCATCAAAAAATATTTTAGACGAACATATAAACTGTATCATGCTAACAACTGGTTTTAGACAGTTGATTTGATCTGTTGTACTGTCCCTTTGGTATCTTTCACCTCTCTTTTTTTTCTAAGCAGATCACCAAATTGTAAATGTCTCAAGATAGCCCATAACAGCAATTTTGACAACTTTTGGCAAATTTTGAGCATTTACCACAAAAATGTATTAGAAGATCATCGTTAACTAAATCTATACTCTTTGATATTTAATTTCCATTAGGATTGGGCAACTTTTAGATGTTGACCTTTAGAATGAAAACAAATACAGGGTAAATAGATCCTTTCGCTTTTTGTCGTCAAAAAATGAAATTAGGTCAGCTGGTGTGTCGAAATGCATATATGATATATATAAATAGATATGCAAAATATTACCAAATCTATCATTTAATCAATGCCTCCGATCCTGAAATAGTCTTCAATGAATAGCATATTACAAATTTTTAACTGCCATTTAAGGTCATAAAATAAGGTAAATGCAATTCAAAAAGGTACTTTTTTCAGAATTTTATAAATCTCCTACTCCATTTCTTCATATGTATTTTTTGTTTCATTGTATAAGCAATTCATACCAGTTTACTATACTAACTAAATCTCAGGGGCTAGAGAATGTTATTCTAGAACATAAATGTGCTCTCTTTACAATGAACACACTGGGAATTAAATAATTTTCCAGGACCTACTTGCCCTGAATTTCCACAAAAAAAGATTGTATGATTCTTAAAAGTGGTTGAATTGCAATATAAATTATGTTTGTGATTTGTTTATGTGTATGAATAAAAGGATGTATATAGGTGGTTACCATTAATGAGACAGCAACCAAAAGACATCTAGAGAGAAATTTAGCAATGTTTTTAAAATACTAGCCAGCAGGTACAAATTGTGTACTAAGTTTTAACACTAGCAAAGAGAGGAAAACTAAATAATAGATCATAAATGTCCCTTCTATATATCAATTTGCCAACAAATAAGATAGACTTTTAATCATCAAGATGTTGGTATCTCCTACAAATTGTGTACAAATTCAATTTATTTTCAGAAATTCATTTACTGGAAAGCCAGGGGAAATCTGTTAGTCATAACTTCAGGAATTTTCATTATGATATTTTTCCTTCTTATTCCCAGTCTTTCTACCCTTCCATTTTTAGCATTATATTCACTCGTCATTAATGATTATTATTTTCATTCTTTTGTCTAGTTGTTTTTATCAGGTATTTATTGATCCTGATAGAAGTCATTCAAGAAAAACAAGTGAAACTGCGAGCTACTGCTCACTGATGAACAAATTTCAGAAATCCTTTTATTGTATTTCCTGAGAAAAATGTGACGAAAATTTTCAACTTGGCTATCATGTGTAAAAAATGATACAAGTGTTCAGTTAACAAGAAGTTTTTGAGTGATGAAACTTAAAACACATCACACGGTATAGCTGACTTATATAAACCCTAAAACCAAATTTCAGAAATCCTTGTATTGTAGTTCCTGAGAAAAATGTGACGAAAATTTTCAACTTGGCTATCATGTGTAAAATGATACAAGTGTCCGGTAAACAGGAAGTTGTTGAGTGAAGAATCTGAAAAAGCATCACTCGGTATAGGTGACTTATATAAACTCTGAAACTAAATTTACGAAATCCTTTTACTGTAGGTCCAGAGAAAAAAGTCACTAAAATTTTCAACTTGGCTATCATGTGTAAAAAATGATACAAGTGTTCGGTAAACAATAAGTTGTTGAGTGATGAATCTGAAAACGTATCACAGGGTAAAGCTCACTTATATAGACCCTGAAACCAAATTTCAGAAATCCTTGTAGTGTAGGTCCTGAGAAAAATGTTAGCAAATTTTCAACTTGGTTATCATGTGTAAAATGATACAAGTGTTCCGTAAACAGGAAGTTGTTGAGTGATGAACCTAAGAAACGCATCACACGGTATAGGTGACTTATATTAACCCCGAAACCAAATTTCAGATATCCTTGTATTGTAGTTCCTAAGAAAAATGCGAAGAAAAATATTCATGGGACGGATGGACATATGGACGGACGGACGGACAGACAGAGGAAAAACAGTATACCCCCACTTTTTTAAAGCAGGGGTATAATTAAAATGTCACTTCCGTTAATGTCAGATAAACCTAATTGGCCATCCTGGGTTAATGGACAAAGATCATGTTATGCTATTGAGTCCAACTTATTTTTGTTATTCTGGCTTAATAATCAATCTATTTTAAATTTTAACTGATACTTAGATCTCATCATGAACAATGATGTGAAAATAATTCTATATTTTTTATTTAATTTAATTATGTAAAGTGTAATGTTTTACTTGTCTACGGGTATAACCAGGTCAAAATAATGTACAATAAGTCAGGCAAATTGGGCAGAGCATTTCCATACCCCTGTCTAATTTGATGGGAATCAACAACAGAATCGTACATTGATTGGCTAACATTAAAATAATTTATAAAGTTAGAAAGGGAAAATATGTTAATTTGTCACTTATAACACATAAAATGGGTAAAATCTCTTTGTTCTTAATTACTGTGCTATAATCGGGATAATGCACAGCAAAGGTGTGCATTAACTACCTCAGATATACTGCACAGTTCAAAAGTATACTCTAACCTTTAGGAGCAGTCCTGGATTTAATTGAAAGGGGTTTAATTCCATAAACTTTTAAAAATATCACCGAGTGTAGCGAGACTAAAAACATTTTTTGACGATTTTATGCTAAAACAAGATATGTTTTCAAATCAAAGGATGGGACATAAAATATTTTATAATATTTTGTGCACAATGTACATCTGAATTTTAACAGTGTTTCACAGTCAAACCAGATAATAATGATTTTTTTGTAATTTCTGCCAAAATATAATGTATTTTAGAATGCTCAATGGAATTTATTACGACTATTTAGATATGTATGCCTTTAAAGTGATTATTTTGGGATCAAATTTAATGGGAATCATATTTAAGTTTGTATCAAAACAGCGTGGGGGGATGGGGGTGAATCAGATTTTGTTAAGATGCTATATGTCTTCAAAAATTTATACAGTAGAAAAAAATTGGAGATGGAGGGGAAGTTAAGATTGAAAAGTGAAACACTTTTTTCTGTATACTTAATATATTTAATTTAGGTACATCTCCACATGGGAAGGTCAACTATCCATATGTATTACATATGGATAGTCGACCTTCCCACGGATAGACACAAGTCCCTGTGTACATGCATCTCTCATCAGTCCATCTTCCTCTAAGCATATTATTGACGAAAGATAGACAATAAATCTATACACAATAACCATTTTAGTTATGATTTTTCATACACTGATTTAAAAGTACACCAAACGGTACTAAAACTGTAGGAGATGTAGATTATACACCAATAAGACAGCAACCAAACGACAAGAACAAACTAAGGACATCTAGAAGGTAACATATAGTATAGTTTTCAACAATAGATAGGTGTCTACACAATATGTCAATTTCTAATTCTTCACTAATTTATATAAAAATTGTGAATAAATTTAACAGAAACGATAACAAAAAAAATCTACCATTAAATAGCGATTCTCCTAATAATGTAACATTTTTTTTTACAATTTAGGAAGAAGCTTAAATATGAAAAAAGTTAATATTTAAATACTTCATAATTTTAACTACATAAAAGCGTATTTCCCCCTTTCTTTATCCTACAAGGAACTTTCTTAGGAGCCATGGATTGCAGAATATAATTCGCATATTTCTAAAATGTTCACGTAAATTGATGGCGTCATGTGTTCAAACAGTTATTGGCTAATCAAATCGGTATATATCATTTAATCTGCACGGTCGGGATGACTCTTTAACCTGAACTCCTACGTCGTTCCAGTTAATAAGGGTCACTCGAGTTGTGCAGATTATATCATATATACCGACTTGCTTGGTCAATAACTATAACATAATGTCTAGGCTTATTGATATGATTATTTATATAAATTAATACTAGATCCAGTATTTTTCACTGTTTTACACTTTTGATTTTAACTTGCAATCGTACAAAAAGTACATTGAAGCTTTTACTTGCCAATCTGACAAGTATGGCTGAATATTTTACTTGGCCAATGATGACTTTCACTCAGGTCTTGGGCAATCAAACAACCATTAATGTGGACCATGCTCTGATTGTATGTCTTTGGGGGAAAAGTCAAGACTCTATCTATATGTAAACAATATTTAATATAAAAAAAAACTTACCTTTGTCCATAAGATAAAAAAACTTTCCAACTTTTGTAATTTCTTGAACAGCCAATGGACATTGGTAAACATGTTTATTGATTTCTTCTGAATGGCCCATGTGTCTATAAAAAGCCTGCCTGTCTGTCTCCGGTACATCCAAGTTTGCAAACACAGTTGACATGTAATGTCTCATTTGGGTGGCGTTAATCTCTTTTGTCAGCCCTGTCTGCTTACAAACTTTGTTTACACTATTCCATCCATTTACATGAAAGTTGGAGCCTTGGATGTTTGGAAATACATATATATTAGTAGGTTTTACACCTGCCATCTGTCTTATCTGTGGATCAGCAAGCTTTCTTATAGCTTTCCAAGAATCTTTCGGAATGAGCGTTGGGAGCATATGGCACACACTTTTGCCAGACTGATACGACAATTTGTATATTTCAAACAATTCAAGTTCTTCTGATGTTTTGGCTTTTTTCTTGTGGGTTTCATCTAACCAGACGCCATCTTTTGCATCATTCCATTCCTTTAAAGTAAGTCTACTTGGTTCTCCTCCCCGCTTGGCATTGAACAGTGTAATTCTTGCCACCACAAGATCTCTAAGCCGAGGATATTCATTAACATCTAAAATCTGATATGGGTCATCCATCTGAGCAATTCCAGAAAGGGTGTAATTTCTCAATCTTCTTACATCATCATCAAGAGGTAAATATTGTGGTCGTCTGAGGTTTTCCTGTCTATTCTTAATACAATTGTACTCAGCTCCATCGAATATCTCCTTTCTGTAGTAATCAAATAATGTTTTGAATTCCTCAATTTTTACCAGCTCATCTCTCTTACCCTGCAATAAATGCTGCCCTTTTATGTGTCTAATAACATTTTTTAAAAGATGACCTACGTTTTTCTTTAAACCAGATTTCATGCCACCATCATCTTTTGCAGCCATCACATGGATAGCATCCATAAAAGTGGTAAAGTGTTCCATTTTAAACATGTCTAATGTTGCATTTATGTCTATGCCAATTTTAGCTGCCTCGCTTTTAAAACAAAAGAAAAGATTTGCTAGTGTCCTCATGTGCTTCATTATATTTTTTCTGTTCTGTGGGTTTTTATCCTTCCTTGCTGCAAATCTTCTGTAACTGTGAAATCCAAAATCTTTTAGGTATTTATCAGTTTTACAAAACTTTCCACTTGTGTCATCCAAAAAGCCACTTAAGATGTCTGCCTTATAATCTTCAGTGTAACCATCATCTCTAACAGCAGAAAGTGGAATTGCAGTTGGTGTAATTGTTGTTCCCTCTGCTGCTGTACATTTGATTCTGTGAATCTTCAAGTGTTCTTTTACAAAATAACCCTGACATGAGGAACACATAGCCCTATTTTCCATTGCATCTCCTTCCCTCTGTTTTCTTGCCTGCCTTTCCTTAACTATTTGATTCACATCAAAATCATCCTCTTTCATTAGCATCAAGTTGTACTGGTGATAGCCTCTCCTTTTCAAATTGCATAAAACCTGATTTCTGTCCTTTACAGGAAGCTGCTTTGCTGCCTTTACCTCATCGTTGTCTCTATGTTTAGTTAGAATATGCCTGCTTAATCGACTTTGAAATATACCACAAAACGGACATGGTCTTTTTGGATTTCTTGTTCCTACAAAAAAGAATATTAATAAATAAATAACATATTATCAATATGAACTTAAAAATTAGCTAGACCGTACACAAGAATATATAAGACCAGGTTTTCCTCATCTGGAATCTATGCATTTTGTAGACAGTTGTTTTTAATGATTTTCAAAAATAACTAGCTGCCCTATGAGCGCATGATACACCCATCATTTTTTCAAAGAAAAATTTTCCACAATGCCTCAATGTCATTTCAGATTTTTATTAAAACAAGAATGTGTCCATAGTACACTGATGCCCCCCTCACACTATTATTTTCTATGTTCAGTGGACCGTGAAATCGGGGTCAAATTTGAATTAAAAGTTAGAAAGATCATACCATAGGGAACATGTGTACTAAGTTTCAAGTTGATCAGACTTCAACTTAATCAAAAGCTACCTTGACCAAAAACTTTAACCTGAAGGGGGACAGACAGAAAGGACGGAGGGAGGGATGACGGACGGATGATCAGAACGAAAAACATAATGCCCCTAGGTAGGACATAAAAAATTAAGGGAGGTTATTTTAATAGATATAAACAAGTCACCAAAGTTTCCCATAAACAGCGTATGAAAATTTCGGTGCTAAAGAAAACCTTTGTTTACCTGGTTACTATGCTTTTTAATTTTGCGTTTTAAATGGTACAATGATACAAATTTTAGAAGTTTATTCCTTAAGTTTAATTCATTTAGGCTCTTTGACTGGCCATGATGGCCATTTTCGATTCAAATCTTAAACATTTGAACTAACATCAGTTCATGTATCTATACTTAATTATTTCATTTATTTTTTCTGTATTTCGATTTGGAATGCAATTCATTTTGCATTTCACAAATCTCTTTTCCTCTAATGTTCATGAAATTTGTGTATAATTAAATTCCCTGAAGGACAGCCAAGCATACCAACAGTAATATATATAGATTCTTACATTGATACCAGTGGATTATTGTATTTATTCTGGGCTAGGACTTCCATACACCAAAAAATAGTTGACCTATTGCTTAAGTACTTGAAAAATAGTATCTCATAGACTGACAAAATGTATAGGAAAATGTATTATTGATCAATGAACCATGAAAATTGGGTCAAGGTCAGACAATACCTGCTAGACAGACATGTACACTTAACAATTAATTCATTCACCAAATAGATCTAGAGCTGAGCTATTACTTGGAAAACAGACCAAAACACTACAAGAGTGCACACGCTGAAATGGCTTGCCTTCTTTACTAACCATTGATATTATGTTGATAGTCCTAAATATAATGCTTTACTACAACTATCACATAAACTCAACATGATTCAAGAAAATGAGGTCAAGGTCAGAAAAACCAAACGAGAAATACATGTACACCTAACAATCATTCAATACACTAAATATAGTTGACCTATTGCTTATAGTTTCTAAGAAACAGACTTAACCAAGAAAACTAAACATTGACCAATGAACCATGAAAATGAGGTCAAGGTCAGATGAACCATGCCAAACAGACATGTACACTTTACAATCAATCTATGCATTAAATATAGTTGACCTATTGCTTATAGTATCTTAGAAACAAACTTAACCATGAAAACTTAACACTGAGTAATGAACAGTGAAAATGAGGTCAAGGTCAGATGACACCTGCCGGTTGGACATGTACACCTTGCAATCATTCCATACACCAAATATAGTTTACCTATTGCATACAGTATAAGAAAAACAGACCAAAACACAAAAACTTAACTATAACCACTGAACCATGAAAATGAGGTCAAGGTCAGATGACACCTGCCAGTTGGACATGTACACCTTACAACCCTTCCATACACCAAATATACTAGACCTATTGCTTATAGTATCTGAGATATGGACTTGAACACCAAAACTTAACCTTGTTCACTGATCCATGAAATGAGGTTGAGGTCAAGTGAAAACTGTTTGACAGGCATGAGGACCTTGCAAGGTACGCACATAATAAATATAGTTATCCTATTACTCATAATAAGAGAGAAATTAACATTACAAAAAATCTTAACTTTTTTTTTCAAGTAGTCACTGAACCATGAAAATGAGGTTAAGGACAATGGACATGTGACAAACGGAAACTTCGTACTATAGAGGATTTATATACAAAGTATGAAGCATCCAGGTCTTCCACCTTCTAAAATATAAAGCTTTTAAGAAGTTAGTTAACCTTCTGGTAAAATTTGGTAGAGATCCATTCACTAAAACTAAAGTAATTGTCCATAAACCAAATGTGATTTCAAACGAAGCTGACACAGGCGCGAACAAAGACAACAATGACAACGATGACGACAACATCAAAGCATTATATGAACATAAGCAAATTTTTGCGGTCATATAAAAAACTCAATTTCTTTTCAAGCAGTCGCTGAACCATAAAAATGAGGTCAATGACATTGGACAAATGACAAACGGACACTTCTTAACATAAGGTATCTGCATACAAGATATGAAGCATCCAGGTCTTCAATCTTCCGAAACATAAGGCTTCATATAAATAGTTGACGCAGTTGCCACTGCTTTTGTGATGCCGCCATTGCCGCTGGATAGTAATACATGTCTCACATAATGCGAAGAAATACTGCGACTTTTGTTGCAGGCGAGACAAAAAAACAAAGATGGAGGGCCAGCAATTTTTTTTCGTTTTCTTTCTTTCTAATAAGCAAGCCATGATACAGCTGTAACTGGTTCTAAAATCAGATCCAGATTTTCAACTTCCTTTTTACAGTTGGCAGCCATGCATTTGTGGAAGTAGTTTTTGTCTGTTAGATATGTTTTTACTCTGCTTTTCTGCATTAAACTAGTCTTTGAACAAAAAGAACATCACCGTAAAGAATAATGTTGGTGAAAATATTATTTACCCAAAGTTTTTTTTCACCTAATTAAAAGAATTGTCAAACAGTCACCAATTTCATATTTCTAGATCTGCATCTCTGATAATAAAAAACTTAAATAATTTATTACCCTTTAATCCTTTGTTGTTGTCATCTACATGTACTGCTTCCTCCTCATTTTCACCATCATCACTCTAAAAATCCAAAAGGAAAAGTTGAGATAATGTTTTACTGTGTAAAAAAAAATACCAAATTCAATTAAAATGTTTGTTTGTTGAAAGAATCTCTTTTTTAGTAATGTAGGGGTTAATGGATGTTACTTACTGTAAATTCAGAAATTATTGCGTGCATTTAACTATTATTGCGATTTTGTCATTTTAGCCTAAATTGCAATTTTATCTTTGCGATATTGAGAAAAATCCTGTTTAATTCATATAAAAAATTTCAAAATGCGAGTTTAAATCATTGCGATTATAACCCTGTTGCATTTTTTCGCAATAATAAAACATCACAATAATTTCTGAATTTACAGTAGTTAACTGCATGTGATTGAATTGTCAACCTTATAGGGGTGATATGAAACATTTGTTTAGACATCATCCTCAAACCTTCTTTCACTACACAAACTCATGTAAGGCATAAAAGACAACCATTGAGACTCATGCTGATTTATTTGAACCAAAACTGAAAATTTGTGTTTGAAC